CTTTTTTTTTGTGTTTTTCTCCCTCTACCCTTTCCTTTTTTGTGTTGTGTAGGTTTGAGTTTATTGTATTCTGTTTGTAATGTAATTATTGATGTAAACATGCAATACATGGAATGTTAACATTTGTTTAAAATTTTGTAAAAATAAAGATTAAATATTTTTTAAAAAAAACCTCCTCCATCTTAAATGGATACAGCTTCGCCATTCTATTGGAGACATTCTGTCTTCTGTCATGCCTTGCCCATTCACCCTCAATTAACTCCCTTATCTCGAACATGAAAGAAAAACAAGGCAGATCCTTTTTCAGCTCAGGGAAGTACTTCCTGGAGGTGAAGAAGCCTCTTTCTACCAATCAATAGCCGCCTTCACTGCTTCGACAAAGGCCGGGACCTTGGCAAACTCAAGCGGATAGGTGGTCTCCTCGACACCGCCCGCCATGTCCTCTGAGGACAAAGAGTACCTTCTTGCTTGGGCAGAGGGAATCTGACCCTCCTCCTCCAAAGCACTTGACTCCCGCCTCCTAGAAGTAGAGTGCATTGAATTTCTTTTTTCTCGCAATCCCTGGGACACTGCCTGCTTAATAAACGATCGAACGTTCCTGACCTCTGCAACTTTGTCCTGCACCACCTATTTAAGACAAAGCCACTTGTTTGGGAATGCTGTGACCCCACATGACCAGCAGACTCGCTCAGGTGATGCCTCACGTGACGGAACCCGGCGTGGGGACCTCCCCTGGTGACTTGAATGACCTTCGCTCCTAGGGGACTATTACGAACCTGGTCTGGGAGACTGGATGCTTGAGGAGGCTTCCCTTGCACCTCGTGTCTAAAAGCCTTTGAGGATGGTGACAGAGGCCAGGCAGACACCGAGTGGCACGAGTGCCAGTAGTTATGAAACCGTGCAAGTAGAAGGGTAATCCAGAATTCAAAGTTGAGGCAAGCCGAGGTCAAAATCCAGGAGGTCAGTTGCAGTACCGAAGGAAGAGGCAGAAGAATAATCAAAACAGTCCAGGGTCAAAAAGGCAGGCGGCAGTCAAGGCAGGTAGTGGAGGCAGGAACGGGTCAAAATCCAGGCAACGGCAATCTAATATTCAAGACAGGAAACAGGAGACACAACACAGACAGGAGCTGATAAGCCAATCCAGCAAGTAAGTGACAGGCTGGCTTGGTTTAAATAGGGAAGTGAACTAATCAATTATGTCACTTCCTGTGCGCCTTTGGCACATTTTTCTTAGAACACGCTCCATCTGCGCATCACTTCCTGTGCGCCATCCTGCGCATCTTTCTGTGGGAAGTGGTCGTTGTGCGCATGCGCGTATTCTTCTGCCTAGCGGTACTTGGCGCATGTGTGGAACGGGCATGGTGCTTACAGGGACTCGTGAGAATGATGGTGCCTCTTGGATTTGTGCTTGATGGAGGATCGTTTGCCAGAGCGAGAGCGGGATTCCTCTGGTCCTGCTGCAACGTCGGACACCAACTCAGGGTCTCGTAGCCGGCTCTTCCCCCTGTTCTTTTTTTTTTTTTAGGAGGTGACAGGAATACATACATCCTCCAACTACTTCGGTGACTTTCCCTGGTGAGCTCATGACAAACAGACAGCTGCAGACATGAACGAAGCACTGGGGGGAAAAACAATACACAGTCCACCAGTGCATGCTCCCAGGCACATAGAAAACAGTACTGCCACTTAGGGAGACCACTACCATGAAAGGAGGGAGTAACTGTAGAGTTAAAGGTTGCTCTGCACTGAGGGAACTCTATGTCCAGGGAGAGCCATATATATAGTTTGGGTGGGGCAGCTGCCCGAAAAGGCTTGTGTGCAGTTGGCACAGTAAAGACAGTGATTTACAGAAGGCTGGTCCATGGGAAGGCACAGGACCAGGCCTGTCACCATGTAGTCGCTGTGGATATCTGTCAGCTTCCCCTAAGGGGGGGATGCAAAAGAGGGCAGGAGCAGCACTATCTGATGGGACTACTCGCATCACTGTAGGATACCTCAATACCTCTCCACTGGCTCTGGGCTATACCTTGACTGACCTCCTCTCTGCTATCTGTTGGTAACTACTCGTGTGCTTGAACGAGTAATGTGCCAGTAATGTGCCGTCATCAGAGAATGGGATGACTGAAGCCTGTATTATACTGTAGATAAGAAAATGTTTAAGTAAAAGTTCAAAAGGCTCTCTGTGTGTGGACTGCTCCTTCCCCCAACCTCTAAGATGGGTTTTTTTTCCAGGAAGCGAACTTGTGGTGGACTGGACTGCTGCTCTAACAATGTAAAGGAATGTATGTGGGGAGAGACCACGGCAATACTGGTCAGGCCAGGCACAGGTTGCTCTCAGAGGTGGGCTCCACCATGAAGGGGTGATGTGCTGAGATTATGCCCGAGGCCTTGAGTACCTTGAGATCCCTGTGTTCAAAGTATTCCAGGGGATCTGAGCCACTACAAAGGTAGCCAGGGCAACAAAGAGTTAATGGGTGCCTGGTACCGCACAGCTGAAACACGTGAAATGCACACAGACCAGCATGTACATTTGCTGTCCCCTCAAAATAACTCAACACACAGCCATTAATGTCTAAACCACTGGCAACAAAAGTGAGTACAGGTGAATAAGTGTACAAGTAAACAAGTGTATAAGTGAAAATGTCCAAATTGGGCCCAATTAGCCATTTTCCCTCCCCGGTGTCATGTGACTCGTTAGTGTTACAAGGTCTCAGGTGTGAATAGGAAGCAGGTGTGTTAAATTTGGTGTTATCGCTCTCACTCTCTCATACTGGTCACTGAAAGTTCAACATGGCACCTCATGGCAAAGAACTCTCTGGGGATCTGAAAAAAAAAATTGTTGCTCTACATAAAGATGGCCTAGGCCATAAGAAGATTGCCAAGACCCTGAAACTAAGCTGCAGCACGGTGCCCAAGACCATACAGCGGTTTAACAGGACAGGTTCCAATCAGAACAGGCCTCGCCATGGTGCACGTTCTCAGCATCATATCCAGAGGTTGTCTTTGGGAAATAGACGTATGAGTACTGCCAGCATTGCTGCATAGGTTGAAGGGGTGGGGGGTCAGCCTGTCGGTGCTCAGACCATACACCGCCGCCGAACTGGAAAGTGAGCTGAGTTGGAGGATTTTTCCAAATCAGCTATTTTGGCCTAGATTGTTCATTTCTCCTGCCTTCTCCAAACTCTTCTCCCTTTTGTGAATAACCCTGATAGTGTGTTAACTATATCCACAATCCTGAATGAACCGGAAGTGATGTAGATCACTCCCATTCATTCATAATTGGGGACACAGTAAACATACTATGTCCTCAATTATTTTACAAACACTAAGCGATCACTGATCGCTGACAGGGTTATTCACAAATGGGTGAAGAGTTTGGAGAAGGCAGGAGAGGTGAACAATCTAGGACAACATAGCTGATTTGGAACAATTCTCCAACTCAGCTCACTTTCCAGTTCGACGGCGGCGTATGTAACCCAGCACACCGCACCAAGCAACTGGAGTGCGGCCGGCCAGATTAGAGAAACCACTCTCAGACTCTCACTGCCCTGCTCGGTGAATGCAGATATACAGCGTCAGAGCAGGCCAGTGCAGGGCTTGGTGAAGGCTGATGCATGGCATCAGGCAGCTACGCATCGGGCATAACTGGACGGCCGGGCTGAACACAATCAGGCTGACTGTGTTCGGCCTGGCCCACCGGGCAAGTGCCTGGTATGCCCTATGGCCAGTCCAGCCCTGAATGAAACTTTAATACAAGACTTAACTAAAAAAGCTCCTAACTGCAAAGGGCATAAATGTTAAAATTGTTTTTTTGTAGCCAAGGGTATAGGCCGGAGTATGATTTTTTTTTGTTCACTAAGGATATAGGCAGGAGTACTATTTTTGGAGAATAAGTAGCATCATAAAATAAAACATTGTAGAGAAAACAATAATATTTTCCAAGAAATTATTGATACGATGACATTCCCACCAAATTTGTAGGTAAGATCCAGTTGATTGCTGGCAGCACCAGCAAACATCTGAGTGGGAAGGATACATGGAATTAAGTTTCAAAGGTGTTAAGTACCATCTGGTTGTTATTTTTATGATATTATGTTCTTGCATTTTATATGATATGGAGATTTTGTGTGTAAATTTGAACTTCTTATCCAATTCTTCTTGTGAAATGGGTAACGATAGTTTTGTTTCCCATTTTCTTGCACAACTAGGGAGGTGCTTAGGGGAATTATTTAGAAGCAGGAGATAAAGTAAGGAAACTGTAAGTTGTGGTGGGTTTAAGTCAATGCAGAGGGTTTTGAATTGTGTAAGAATACTATGTATTAGGGATGTCCCGATACCGATGCTAGCATCGGAATCGGGTCCGATACAGGGCATTTTGACAAGAGGAGTTCCAGGTGGGGTTCTAATTTAGCTGGCAGGCACCTCTAAGTCAGCTAAATTAGGACCCCACCTGGAGCTCCTCCCACTGGACCAGCGCTGCCGCTGACTCGTCCCTGCTCTCTGCGGCACAGTCACACAGTGAGTGAGGGCAGATTTAAGGGGATGTACTTGTACTTGGGCCTGAAAAAGTGGCATCGGGACATCCCTACTATGTATACTGTATCTGTGCATGGATAGGTGGCATTAGAAGTAATAGGCTTTTGGTCCGTGGATGTAGTTTTTATACATCTAAAAGAGCCATCATTTCTATGCCAACCTAAAATGTTTGGAGCATGGAGAACCACTGCGAAGGCTAGATTGTCCAACAGATTCCACAGATTCAACAGATTCAATTTGAATAAATATACCTCTTTAGAATGATGTACTTTTTTCTGTATAAATGAATATTTTTTTTGTGCTAAAGGTATGATGAAGAAAGAATGAAAGCCAGGAGAGAAAGGTATGATTTGCATCAAATATATACGTTAGTAAGTGTTAAAACAAACTATGAATATATATAATTCAAAACGTATATACAGTATATTTTGCATATATTAGAATATAGAAAATTGCTTAAATTGATAAAAATCTGGATAACAAAAAACCAGTGCTTTTTTTGCTGGGTGTACATAAAGGAGCTCATAGCCCAATGTCTACATTAATATGCACACTAGGCCAAAATTGTTAGAGAGTCAGTTAAAGTAAAAGTTTAGGCGATACAACACACCTTTTACATGGTAGCCCCACTGCAAGGGTTAATAACAATGTTTCCAGGATTTCTTTATTTATAAGAATGTACTCTATTTTTCTTAAGTAACTTCTCTAATAAATCAACTGCAGCATTTCTATTTCTTTATACCTTGTGTAATCAAATTAAAATTTGCAACATCTTCCCACACTCATTATATGGCAAAAATAAATAAATGTTTGCCTTTAATTTGTAGTGTTCGGGTTGAGAAAGGGTCAGGAGAAACAGAAGACTTCCCAATGTACCGTGCGACTGCTACCAAGTATGTATCTTTGCTATGTTACGTTGTGTACGGACTTTTATATAAAGTTATTGTTTGTTGAATAAAAAGACGCCGCAGCCGGAGCGGATCCCGACCTGGACGTCGGGATCCGCCCAGCTGCGTGAGTGACAGCTGGCTCTGCCTATCTAGAGGCAGAGCCAGCTGTACCCGCCCCCTCCCCGTCCGTTCTGCCAGTCAGCGCTGGCAGATCGGAGCGGGGAGAGGGGAACCCAGCCCCTCCCCCTCTCACGGCAAAGAGCCGTGACAGGATCGAGAGGGGAGCGAACCCGGTATGTGTTCGCTCACCTCCCGA